AAGAACGGTTAGGAGTCGTCCTTTTTGATGTTTTTGTTTGATTTTGTCAGGAGTCGTCCATTCTTCAAACGGTTGAAGATTTTGTTTGAAGCATAATCATAAATGACTATCCTGACTATCGCAAGAGTCAAAAAGAGTCAAAGATTCAACATGACTATCCTTGAGTTTAATCGATCATAGTCCAACATGTTCAATTCATCCTCGCAGCTCTGGACAACAAGCAAAGGCACCTCATCCTTGTGCATCACCGTGGCACAGGCCCAGATCAGGTTCGACATGTTCTGCGGCCTTGGCATGGGAGACCAACTACTAGCACTGGAAAGTAGAAGGTTTCAGGCTGCTGCAGCCGATGGCTAGGTACCAATAAGCCCGGTGAACCATTCACTCTCCACTGGGCTCCACGGCTTGAAGCGGCCCAGCTGTACCAAAGACTCCTCGATGATGATCCGAAAAAGCTGGTCACTTGGCTGCTGGAGTTTGGCAAAGGCCCAGCAAGTGTTCGTCAAGTCCTCGCGGTCGAGTCTTCCCAGTGTTTGGGACAGTCAAGTTGCTGAAGTTGCTGGTGCAGCGCCATGTGCAACCATTCTTTTGAGCAACGTTATGGGGCATCTAGCTGGTCAAAGAAGGACTAAAACGATCTTGTGCGGCAAGCAGTCTTGGAAGCACCTCCTTTGGTATAATTCATCAAGTCCCGTCGTGCAACTTCAGAGTAGCACACTCTCCTGTGGAGTATACTCCCGAATGTTGGCCTCCACGTGCTTTGGGACCAGCTGAAACAGCCTCAGCGCAAGGTCATCACGTTCATGTGCTGAGACAAACCCTTTGATTTTGGAGGAGGAGGAGGAGGAGGAGTCTCCCAGCATATCCCAGCATGTACAGCGAAGGGTGGAAGAACATTGTGGATGGGAAGTCTCCAGCTCCACATCAATTTCATATTGTGAAGCAGGCGGCTAGAGCATCTTCCTGAGGAGAATGGCAGTAAGAAATCATGCCATCCAATTGGGTTCTGGTGTAGTGTGCCACATTTCGCCCGTGAGCTAGAGCTGTTAGGAAGCTCATGTAATCTCAACACTGACAATAGGATTGAACAATGTAGAACACATCTTTTCCCACCTTCGCCTTCTTTCCACCCTCCCTCAGCAGCAGAAAGCACTCACCACTCACCAGCCACAACTCCACAACTCCGCACCAACCTGCAGCACTCCATCCATCCATCTCCAGGTTCACTCCGAGGAGCGCTTCATCGATGAAGCCCAAGGTGCCCAGCGCCCAAACGCTGTTGGACATGTTCTGCGCCACGAAGCCACTGGAGCGCTTCACCGCCCACCTGGAGCTGAGCTGAGGCGGGGGCGGAGGGCGGAGGGCGGAGGGCGGAGCGAGAGGCTCCTGCCATGGGGGGGGGAAACCTAGCCCAAAAGGTCAATCTCACGAGCGGAGAAGGAACATGTGAGGAGAAGGAACGTTCCAAAAAACATGGAAATATCTACAGTACTGGCTACATGTTATTAGTAGATCTAGTAGGTCTCAACACAGTTGGATACAGTACCCCTTCCACGTCTTGCCAAGCACTCCCACCGCGCCCGCCTGCACAGCAAGGTCAACAACTCCACTGACCTGGGACGACCCACCGACCAAGCCCGGGTTTCGGGCATTTTCCACGCGCACCACGGCAGTCTTGGGGAGCTCACGGCATCTGATATGTTTCGTTGCCCAAAGCCATTCTACAGTTGGAATTCGAAGGATTACGTCAGAAGCAGCATGAATTACCAATCCAATCGCTCAACAACGAACTTGAGATCTTTGGACCAACATGGGCCAACATACATGGTGTATCATCGTGTTGCCTTCCAAAGCAGCCCCCCTTCAACCCATCCCATCCATGAGGGCTTGCAACTTCAGGCGCTGAAACATCAACACCGCGCAGCTCCACAAGGCGTTCGCCAGCTGCTGCGGCCGACAGCGAGCCACGAAGTGCTGCGTGAGCTGCACCAAACCGATGAAGCCTGCACCGACGCATGTTGGGCGAGCTGCGTGTGGAGATCACTGCAATTAGCAGGTGTAGTGGGGGGGCGCATTGGAGGTCTGAGGAAAAATCAGTGGATGTGCATATACATTATAAATTATAACTGTACCAAGTGTGGGGAATGCATTCTTTTTATTCCAAGTTTCCCGGCAGAGGAGGCAGATTGGCACCCACTTCCATTACTGAAGTTGGGTCGTAGGAACCATCACTACCGATGAGCCCTGGAGCAAGGCTAGACCACTCAAGAACTGGACATGTCAATCCAAGCAGTACCACGGCCAGGAGCTGGCCGTGCAGAGAACATGTTCTCTACATGTAGGGCTTCTGTCCAACCCTGGCGACGGACCGATTCCTGGATGTTGATGAATCACTTCCACCGGAGTTCGGCCATCCTCCTGACACCAAGGACCGGACCCATTGGCCCGGACCCATTGGCCCGAACACATCACGTCGAGGTGAAACCCAAGGGGGTTCAAAGCCCCAAACCTGTCGAGTTGGCCAAATCACTTCATCTGGACACATCCTCTTTTGCGATGAAAAGACTGACCGGTGCGACTCGTAGAGAATGAGGGAATGAGCTTCCAATAGAGATTCCTTTCGATCCAGCCACCCTCATTCCCTACGAGTCGCACCAGTCAGAAGATGTCTGCTTTCCGAAAACATTTCGGACCATCAGGCCAGCTGCCAGCTACCTGGTTTTCCTCACTGGCGCAAGATCGACGCAAAGTTTTCAACCCGGTCTGGAAACCTCAACTGCCGAAAAGAATGGTTGCCACACCATGTGGGAACACATGTACTGTACATCAAAAGCTACGAGTATTTGAGACTTCCCAAGTATTTCAGAAACGATCAAAGGAAATCCATCAGGTCATATCAAGTCCTCGCGGTAGAGCTTGGCCGCGCGGTGCAGGGAGGTTACTGCATTGAGTTCATCCATCACCTGAACGGCTCAGAGCTCCGCCCTCGTCTAGTGGCTCGATGTTGAGTCCACTTGACTCCTAGAATCCCAAATGAAAATAACATTGAAACAACATTGAACAAACACATTTTTAGCAAAAAAACAGGATGGTTTTCCATATTTTTTGCGAACATGCCTCCCTTTGTGCCTCAAGTTTCGTACCAATGCGGATGCCATGAAAAGTCATGGTCTCTCAGGCCAGAATCGTCTTCGCAGCAGTGACTAGTATACAGTATGGACATCTATCTTTCAGGATAGCAGTAGAAACTTATCATTGCAAATTCAATTAGGAAACAAGAAATTCCCAGAGTTTGACACGTAAAGCTACGTGGATCGAAAATAGAATGGACTGGCTGCCACCAACTCATCTGCATCCAGGATCCTCTCCCGAGTTTCTCAGCTTCTTTGGAATACATCACAGTGCACCAGTCATCCATTAACCCACTAAGCACGTATAATTTTTGAACGAAAAACCCTAAATACTTGCGGGATGCCCCCTGGCCCCATGGAGTCACTTGCATATGTGCACTTACCAACTGCAACCTGCACTCACCACGCATCCACACACCACACGGCCGCACACCATCCGACCTCCCCCCTCTCCAGCGCATGCTCTAAGACCTCGCGCCAGCTGTGGAGCCGCATGATCTCCTGTCGTTTCATCGGCACGTCGCTCCGACCTCGCACCTTTTGGTCCCGTTCAGCATCTGGTTGTTCATCGCCCATTGCATGCACAGCCATTCTGTATGAAAAAGCCTTCGTTTTCAAGCATGTTCATCTTGAATGTTGGTAGTTTTTGATGGTTGTAGTGCAGCACAACTCAACTTTGCATAGAACCTGCTCTCAGCTCTCCCTCGCAAGCTTTCCCCACTCAAATTCCCCCCCCTGTCTGTCCCCGAGGTCCTCATTCACCGGTACCGTGAGCACCCCCATGAGTTACGGCTTTCTTCGTGAGCCCCGCACCGTTCGGTGCCGACGCGGGGCGCTCTTCAGCGGTTGCGAGGGCCCATGGAACGGTGGCGCGGTGGCCGCCGTTGAGGTCTAAACACGGCTGCTGGACCGGGTGGAATCACTTTGGTTGGTGGAGCAGGTTTGGGGCGGTGCAATCCCCAAGAATGGCAACAAACAACGTAAGAACAAATGGATTCCTATTGTGTGCCGTAGTCAGTCTAAAGACCAGCATGGAAACACATGGATAGGTGTTTGGACTTTTCTTGGAATGCCTTGATGTTTGAAGAACAGTGTAAGATGGATCGAAGGATGATCCAAGCGACACGGTTCGCGGTTTAGACGTTCCACCCCAACATGAGTAAGATTCCCAGTCATATAGATGGGACGGACAATACATGTTGCAAACTACCAACCATCCAAAGAACTCTTGAGTGCTTAAACAGGATGAAACACTCAGCAGGACCAGTCAAGCACTTGATAACTGGCTGCTTTCGCACTTTGTTGGTGTTGCTGAAGGTCTGTTTCTTGGTAACAGGGCCAAACTCCTCTTTCTCGCTCGCGCTGGCCCCTTCAGTTCATTCAGCACCACACTCTGCTAGTTCTCCAGCTCCCGGAACAGCTAGCTCATTGGGATGTGGGATGCCAACTGCTTGGAGCTCGATTCATCTTCATCTCTCGCATGTTCATGAGCTGCAAACCACCACAGCGTTTTCTTCCAAATATCTGCAACCACCAAGTGCACCTGGAGCCAGCCAACGCTTTCACCTGCCCAGCGTTGTTGGGAACTGTATCAAAACGTCGGAGCCAAAAGCATCGGAGCCTCCGCATCCGGAGCCTCCGCTGTCCTTTGCTTTCATCGTCCGGTCCAAGGATCGATGGCTTGTCAGGCGGGCCGAGGCTGTCTGTGCGCGTGCCCTTGCGTCAGCTGTTGGAGCTTCCAGTAGTGTGTGCCCGCGTGGGTGGGGCCCAGCTGGCACAAGAACAGAGGTCCTTCAGTCAAGGCCTCCGGACTCCGTTGCCTCTCACTTCAGAGTGGATCTCCCTCTTGGGTCCTGGATGCATCATGCATCAGTAGAAGGACTGCGCCCAATCCTTGCGCTTCACCTGCTCATACATGGAGATAGGCCGTGCCTCCTGGCGAGCAAGTTGGATGAAATCTCATTCGAACAGAAAACACAACTCCCTCTCACTCCCTAGCAAAAAAAACATCGGACAGTGGTCTGCATGAATGACAGTGGCCATTTTTTAGAACGCTGTGGTCTGCATGCGGTTCGTGGGTGTGACCGGCCTCCTGGGTCAAATCCTTACCCTTTCATACCCCTTCGATGGGTGCACCGGCCAGGTCCGGCAGTGAAACACAGCTGGTCCGGGTCTGGGGGTCCTGGATCTTCGTACCCTTCGTTCCATTCAGCGGCTGAGCCGGATCCTGGCTCTTCTTCACCTGTCAGGTCGAGCGCACCGGACCGGACCGGAAAGCGCGGAGTCCCATGGTGCCGGACCATCTCCTAAGGCGCACATCGGATTAAGTAACCACCCCCTATTAATCAATCCCAGCTCGACCCCCCCCCAATACTACACTAATTTGAAACCTAGATTTTCACCTTGGCATCCCCCTAATAATCGTTTTCCTGGGCAGAAACCTCGCCCTATTAAGCAATCCCAGCTGCCCCCCCCCAAAAAAAAAATTGTTTACTAGTTATTTATATATAATTATGTTGTATTACTTTCTTTTTAGCTAGTCTCCACCTAGTATTCAATATCTTCATCTCCTCATCTTCCTGATTCTCACCACCACCTCTCAACTGCCTCATCCTGCTCACCAATCCTTTTGATGGCTTCTCCTCAGGTCTCATGCTACCAACCCAACCATCCCCCAAAACCCCAACTGCCCCATCCTGCTCACCAATCCTTTTGATGGCTTCTCATGGCACAGAATCCCATCAACCATCATCCATCATCAGGTCCAGGTCCTCATCTCATCATCCATCATCAGGTAATCACCTTTATTAGGGGGATGTCCGGATGTCCTCCTCAATACCTCAAATCTCAAACCTTGTTGACCTTGTTGACCTTGAAGGGGGGGGTCCCCGTTCATTAATCCTACGTCGACATGATATTTCTTGGACTATAGTCACTAGTCCTATAGTCACAAGATCATCACTAGTCCACAACCGAAACGAAGCTCACCTGATTCACCCCATTCCTGACACCGAGCGTTCTTCGCCTCGTCGCCGTTCACGGCTGAAGTGCGAGCGCCGTTGAGGGCCAAGGCGGCGGCCTTTCAGAGCCACGGAGGCCAACGATGACTTTCTTATTGAGAGCGGTGACCATGAGCGTGCCATGCTTTCCTTGTTTCAAGTTTACTTTATAGCTCTATTTGTTCTACACGTTTTACAGTGTGTAGTAACAGCCGGTCTCTTGATGCATCTTTCAAAAGAAGGACGTGGGCGGATGATTTCCGTCGACCCCCGTATAGGTGCCTTAGGTGCCTCGGGGTCCGGTGGCCGTCGTAGCTTCCGGCGGACCGCTGGTGGTGCCTCCGGTGTGGTCCGGTGGATCGATCTTGGGGGAGCTTGGGTGTGGTGTGGTTTTGAGGGTTGGGCAGGGGTTGCATGGCCCGCTTGGTTCATTATAAGGTAGGAACATGTCGGAAATCAGTGGTTTTTCAAGGTCAATGTACTGTAGTCAGTGTTGATTGGTGAGACTGCAAGACTGCTGTGGTGCACTACTGTAAAGTATGACTTAGGGGCTGGTCTCACATGGTCTCACTCCTCAAACACTTGTTTCATGCACATCTGCAAAACACTGACAGGAACCACTCAAGAGGATCTCAAGAGGCTACCCGCAAGGGGGTTCTAGCCTTGGCACAAAATGATTCTCAAAACGCCATTGCAAACACCAACTTCGAACAACACGGATTTGTCATCCGCATAGAACTGCCGAACTGCACACACAATCAACATGTATGTAAATAACAGCACAACGTCGTCTTGAAACATTAGCACAACCATCAATAACCATATTATCTCTCTAAATACTTTCATTTATACAAAAAACACCTAATTCGCATCAATCACCAAACTCCTCAACCCACTTCTTCTCCGAGTCTCGGCCATGGAAGACATGGGCCGCCCGCGCCCTCGATTGTCAAGCACCTCCTGAAGTCCGGTGAAGCCGTTGCCGATTCTTCAGGACTTACGTTGCAAAGGTCAAATGGTAGGTCCTGAGGCCCAAAAAGCAAGCAGCTGAGGGCCGGAAGTAGCCCTCCTGGTCATTGCCAGGTTTATAGGTCAATGGCATGTCCAGGATCTAGCCAATGCACATCCTTTGCTTCCAATCTCGGTTCTCTATCGAAGGCTTTGTGGTCCCCACAGCATCAAAGCTTTCCCCAAGGCGGTCCAGTCCGTTCGCTTCACGAGCGAATGAACCAACTCCGGTCTTTGAAATGCCACGCAAAAAAGACCGCTCAAGAATCCCATGAACTCCAAAATAGAACCTTTGAGAGGATCATCCATCAAAACAAACACCAAAAAAAACAAAAACAAACACCAAACACTGTCCTCCACCCCCACCCACCTGCGCACCTGCGGCGAGGGCCGTGGCAAGTCCGTCGCCGGCCGCCCGGGCATCGGCAACGGCCGGTCGAGGTCGCCGGAACAGTCCTGGCCGGTCGGTCGACGCGGACCGGACCGGTGGTGCGGACCGCAGTGGTGAGCTTCAAGGTCCGGTCCAAGTGAATTTGAACATCAAAAGACTGTAAAAGGTGTTCACCAGTCTTTTGATCCACAAAAGGTGTCATTTGATGATCCACAAAACCCACTGGTGTTTTTAGAAGTCAAAACATGTACGCCCCTAAGTTCCTAAGATGTTGGATGATGGCGTCGCAACGTTGACGTGCGCTGACAAAGAAATGGAAAGGGAGGTTTGGACCGCTGCTGAGGTGCCAAAGGTTCAAGGAAATGGCGGTGTTTGTCCCTTTGCTTCAGTGTCACAGCTCGAGTTAGGATAAACTACTCCTCCATACCCACCTGAGTTGGGTATTTCTTCGCGCTTGTCGTATAAACAGGTAGATTGACTCGGACTGATGACGAACCAGTGAAAGCTTGACCTGTTCTCATATGCGCCTATTGGCACGGAACTGCAGGTTTACGGGCTTATATGCTAACATGCCTCCTTGGTATCATATTGGAAGACAACAAGTTTGCATTTACTTTTCAGGTGTCTTTACAGGTGAATGTGTCATCAAAGAATTCTAGCTTCAAGTGCTCCTCTGTTGCCTGCTCTTGGGAATCTATCCTTCTTTTCCCCCTTAAATCGCCATTTGGGAACATATCCGAAAATACAACAAAAGGACCCCTCTTCCAAACCACCAACCACCAAGTCTTCCCGTCATCTCCTACAAAAATACACAACATCCACCCCAAAGGAACTCTCTCCCATCACCTCCGTCCACCGAAATCTCTGCGGTCTCCTCCGAGATCTCGCAGACCTTGCGGATGCTGAAGGACGCCCGCAGCGAGACCTCCGGAAAGGCCTTCTGGAACTGTCGCAAGGCACCGAAGCCTCGGCGCGCTCCGACGGAGCGCTGCACGCAGCACGCAGCGCACGGACGTGTTTCCAAGGTTTCCAGTTACCTTGACCATCTTCAAAAGAGCAATTGAACTTGGCAAGCTCCTTTTCTGGCGGTTTTGGGGTGTAGAAATGTCCTGTCCCAAGGCCTCAAATGTACCATGTATGAGAAAATACCACTCCGTGCTGAACCACTTTGACGTCAAAAGCCCAAAATTCCTCACGTTCCCCAACCGGACCGAGGTCAGATCCAAATGCCGAGCTAGCGGCATGACAAGCATGGGATCTCGCTCACGTCCAAATGCAGAGTGGCACCAGCTGATCCACTGCCATGTTTCAACAAACGGTCCTTGGCAACAGCACTCTTCACCCAACAAACACTGAAACAAATTATAAACCAAAAAAGCTTTGGTTTAAAGCTCTTTACACTCATCGCCTGCAGAAAAGCAAGAAACAGCTGCTTTTGGCTTGGTTTGTTGCTTTGTGCATCTTTGGTCCGTGCGCTGCGTCTGGTTTTCACTCATGTACCGAGGTGCGGCGGCTTTGTTGAGCACCTGGAACTCCGCGTCGTTGGCACGAGGATGTTCCACCAAGCAGTGCACCAAACGGATGGGCTCGTCCATGGCAGTTCCACTGGCCACCACCTGGTGCTGAGGGTGGGGAGTATGGCAGGAAGTCTGGTGACTGATGGGTCGCAGGTTCAAGTCTTTGAGCAAAGGATGTCTGGTCAGTGGAGGAGTTGGAGAAGAGGTAGGATGGGAGAGTTGGTTCGTTTTGTTCTTTTTTCTGTTGCAGGAGAACGGGAGGGGTTTGTTTGGAATCCCATCTAACTGCCGCTTGGTGCCAACTACACTGAATGCCTAAGTCTTAGAAATTCCATTCTATCATCATACACCATCACACGATGACTCTCCTCAGTCCCCCCTTGTCCCTGCCCAACAGCGACAAGAGCCCCCGCACCTGAGGCTCTTGCAGAAAGGAGCCATCTGGCAGGGTCAGTTGCCAGGTACCTGCAGTGGGCATGACTAGGCCAACCGGTTCACGCTCTCGCGATGAAGGGTCAACTGTTAATTGGAGCTCTTTCCCCATCTTGCTGGCCACCAAAAAAGTTCACACATGTTTTAAGGTGTGATTTGAACTTTGATTTTGAACCAACATTGGCAGACCTTAATCACGTTCAATGAAATCTGCACTGTTTTGATTCCGTCTCTTCAGCACACTAACATGCCCTCAAACTTCTCGCCAGGCTCTTTTCCCATGTTCCTCACTTGGGCGCACAAGTTGTCTTGTGCTTCATCGTCGCATCCGTCGGATCTTGCTCATATGCCTCGGGACGTACGCACTACGGCAAACATGTCTGTGGATATAGATTAGATGCCTTCACGACTCTTGGCACCTTGATCCTCCACCGAAGAACATCTTGAAGCAAAGAATGCAGCATTTAGACCGCAAAAAAGGTGTGCAGGTATCTTTAGTATGAGTGCCGCTGTATTCAATGCATTTCTCGTTTCATTTTCACTCGCCCAAGCCAGTTGAGGTCGGTCACTCCAAGCCATTGACCTTTCCAACCAAAGCAGGCCAGGTCGCAACTTGGATGTTCCGCAGCAGCCAGTCCTCGCGCATGCGCCGCAGTGGCAAGTAGATCTTGGAATCATCTTCCAACATGTTGAACTTCTGCATCATCCTTGGCGCCAGGGGCCGAAAAAGAGCACGGTTCTTGGGAACGGTGCACGACAATCTCGGTGTCGTGTGGGAGCTTGGGATGGAGCAGTTGGAAGAACTTCTTTGCTTTGAAGCCACGGATCCAAGTGTTGCTTTGGTCGATGTCCATGAAGTGGGCAGAACCTTCAAATGAAAAGAAACCATCTTCATCCAATGCTAAGCAATTGTGGGAGCACTGGGATGCAAAGCCGCGGAGATAACATTGCAACATATCGCAACAACACCCTTGGCAAGCTGCTAGAACTCTCTGAAGCCAATTTGCCGACTCTGTAGAGAAACATCCACCCTCCCCGTTCTGACCCGTGTGCTTTTCTGCTTCTTCAGTGAAGGACACCTAGCCCAGCTGGACATCCCAGGCACTCGCACGACATCCGCTGCCCCAGCTGGATCGTCTTGAAGCCAGTGACCTCGGGAGCTTCGAACGGGTTCCGAGCACCGTGGGCGAGGGCATGACCTCCCACGTTGGAGGTGGCACAGACTCTTTTGCATGCCCTAGTGGCCCTAGTGTTGGACTGAAGGTGACTCAGGGCAACCCCTTGTGGATGTGAAACGGACAAAAGAAGCGCAAAAACATCTTCATGAATTGATTCCTTGCACCACAACTCGAGCGGACATTTTTAAATGCAGGTTGAGATTGGATCTTAGAGCCAGGTTTGCCCCACAATGCCCCACATCTTCCGGCTGGGCGACCTGGCTTTGCAACAAAAGGAGATGGTGGAGTCGTCGATCTAATCCGGACTCTTTTGATTTCAGTAATCCACTTCAGAATTGTCTAAGCAGGTCACTTGGGTTTTGGAAGCAGGTCAATTGTCTGAGCGTCACCCTCCAATGTAATGACGTCTGACACAAAGCACTCCAAACAATCCCTGCAACCATCATCATACATCTATGTTTCATCCTTTACCGACTTGCCACACATCCCAGTGCATAGATCTAAGATATGTCTTCAGAACACCTTGGGTTCCACAACCGTATTCCAGTCTACTTACTTCGGTCATCCAATCCAACCAGCTGAGGTGTGTCCTTTCACACGAAGGGGAGGACTCCAACATCTTTCAGTTGCTATTTCCGACTCCCCTGGTTCCAATTTGGATGACCACCCACCCTTTAAAGAGCGCCTCACACGGGGCCCACGCCGCTACGCGGAACTGCCCTCTTTTGGTTGCCTCGGCACTCGTGACTGATAGGTCTCCACTTCGCCACCACCGTTGCCCATCGTGGGGATGTTGGTCCAGTCTTCCAGGAAGACGAGCACCTCTTGGTATGGCCACCTGGACGAATGGAAAGGCCGCCAGCCTAGCAGTACAAGGCTTATAGGCAGTATGCCCTGTTGGAATGTTCCAGAATAACAAGTTAAATCAAAGGAGGTTGCCTTGCGGCACGCAACTATTGTGGACAAACAGTGAAATGTGTGCTGCAACTGCTTGCACTCATTCTCTCAAGCCGTCATTTTGGGTGCTATAAATGCTCCATGCGCGGCAAAGCGGCTCTAGCCCCAAGCAAAACCCTATTTTTCAGTCGAGGCCTATACACCCCAGAATCTTGAAGATCAGTGATGCCTTCCGTAGGGCATTGGAGCCAGCGCATGCGAACGGAGCGCGCCGCCATCCGGCCTGCCGATCGCATCGCATCGGTCCAAGACGGAGGGCTCCACGTGGTGACTCCACCTGGGCGGTGCCGGTGGCCCAGCTGACCGAGGGTGGCTCCACTGGGCTAGGATTCTTGTCCAGCATGTGAAATGGAGCCCCATTGATTTGCGGCAAGTCCAGGTGAACAGAACAGGTGATGCTTGAAACATCAAGGATATACCGCCGTTCTCGGAGATCACTTGTTCAGAAAGAGTGAAACATGCGTTTTCATTTGTATCCTCTTCTAGTTTAGGGCCCTTCCTAGCTCTAAACATCTGTGCAAACAGCCAGTCTGCAACGTCATGCTCACACTCCTTTTATACAGCTTGGCTCAAGCTCCAAATGAATAGCTCACAAATGGCGATCTGCGCTGCGAGGTGATAGTAAAGGTCTCCAACTGTACAACTAACTGACTAACCTTTCTTCTGACGTCTGTCTTTCTTCCTTCTGTGACGCCCCTTCTTCCTCTTGATTTTTGCACCTGAGTCAGGAACCTCTTCTTCTTGGCGCCTGTGCGGTGGTAGTGGCGGCGGTGATGACATATTGATCTGCGTCTTCTGCTTTGCACCTGGTAGTTGTGGTCGTTGTGGTGGTGGCCACGTATTGGCCTGGGTCAAGAACCCAAGGTGGCGAGACAAGAAAGATCCTGCCCATCTCATTGGTGTCTGGAACGCTACCCGGCAGACTTCAAGGGCTGAAAGTGACCCACCACTTGTGAGCATGCCTCCAGGTGGTCCAGACGCATAAGGACCTGCATAAGACGCATAAGGACCTGCATAAGACGCATAAGGACCTGCATGAGACGCATAAGGATCCGCATAAGGCGAAACATAGTGGCCGGGTGTGGGTCTATACATTCTTCCCAGAAGTGGCGAGCACTCCAAGTCCGAGTCGAAGGCATCCTCTTCAACTTTAGCTCTCTCTGGAAAATCTTCAATTCGTACAGAGGAGCTAATTTCACTAAAGGCACGACGTCCAATGTAAACAACTGAGTTTGACATCCTAAGATTGGACAAAGACTCGCAGCCGTAGAAGGCACCATCGGCAATGGACACCACCGAATTTCCAATGGTCACATTCAGTAGATTTCTGCAGCCTTTAAAGGCACAATCCTCTATGCAGGTCACAGAGTTCGGGATTGTTATTCCTGTCAAAGAAATGCATCCTTCAAAGGCATCATCCCAAATCTCAGCCACAGAATTGGGAATGGTGACACTCACGAGATTGCTACAGCCTCGGAAGGCACCCTTTTCAATGTTCTTCACGAACTCAGGGATCCTCACCACACGCAAATCCTCCACATCACAGCCAGCCTCACGCTGCGTGCAACATGTTACCTCTTTGATTTCGAAGACAACTTGCACATCAGCATATTGAAATAGTCCTGCCTTGTTCACCGTCATGTCGTTGTTGTCCAGCCTGTTTTTCTGGAAGACCAGTCCCACATTTGTCTTCATGCGTTCAACCTCGTCTTTTTGAGGAATATATTTTCGCAAGAGCGATTTCAACTGGCGGATCCTGGTGGACGGAGTCACTTCAAGATCCGCAAGATGCTGACCACTCAAGAGATACGTCTTTACTTTAAAGGTTTCCATTACAAACTACAAATTGTGCCACAAGTGATGGATTTGTGGCACACTACATGTACACTTGCTTCTCGAGCCAAGAGTTCAATCAAATCAATGATGTTATCCTATCCTCCAGCTACATTCGCATGCATTACTCTGAGCATCTTTGAGCCCAGCTACAAGTACGGTCATCTGATGTCATCTGCAAATTCTCTTCTCAACCTCACTTCCTCCTGCCTCCAATCACAACTCACCTCCAAGGACACACGCCAACAAAACACACATTGATCCTGTGGCCCTCCCCAAATCGTCGCCGGGCCGTTCCGACACGCGAAACCGACACTGCAGCCGAGGCACTCGCTGCACACGGCGTCAGCGAGGAGCACCGCGTCGCCGGGTTCGTCAAACAGCTCCTCCCGGCGCTGCAGCGTCTCCTGGCGCCCGTGCGGTGCTAGTGGTGGGGCCCCGGGACTCCCCGAAAAGCCGTTGAACGAAGGAAGTCGCAGGTTTGCTTGTCTCGAAATGGTGCGATATGGTGTGGCCCATTTTGACTTCCCACTTTTGATTGACTGACACAGTTGGAAAGACATGTCATGAGCAAATGTGAGGATGAACATGGTATCTGTCTCTTACCTCACCCTCCAACAATTGAATGGAGACCTCCCAGAAGCTCCAACAACCCTGGACCAAAAGAATACCTCTAGGCTTGGTGCTGGAACATGCTGGAACATGATTAACCTCACTCTCCGGTGTGCACCTCCTCCTCCTCCTCCTCCACCCAGTCCCACCACACTGCCCTGCCGCGCGCCTGAGCCAAGCCGCGCGCCAGCCCACCGGACACCGGCAGGCCGAAGCGGACGAAAGCCCAAGCGACGTTGCAAAGCCCGGTGACGGTGAACTCCGGCAGCAGCTGCTCGGCCTCGGAGCGGACCCCGGTGCCGTATGGAGTCGGTAAGGAGGCGAGAGGTTCGGATGGGCCAAAATGAAGGGGGGAAATAGTGGTTGAGCTTGTGGAGCAACTTGTAGGAATTGGTGTGGCTCAGTCTGTCTCTAGCAATTGGCTGGATCTCAAGCATTCTCCATTTGCAACCGTCGCAAGCTCAACGGAGCTGCAAGCAAGCTGGGGCAGGGGAATTCCGAGCGCGCCTTCTCCATGAGCAAGCGAAACAGCCGGTCGTCGCGCAGGGACAGCGTCACCTTGCAAGGGCCGAATGAACAGCGGGAAGCGGTCTTCTTCGGAAGGTATAGACTACAGGGCACACGTGCAGCCAGGAACTGAAACATCAGATCATGAGGCCAAGAAACATATGAACCGAACACGTTATTCAAGGTGCGACACTGTCATGATGAGACACTTTCAATTGATGGTTTGTGACCTTTACATGGGAAGTGCCCCACATGGGAAGTCCTCATTCTCTTCGAAACCCGAAGAGAGCGCACATGGGAGTAACCGAATTAGTCAAACTGCTTCGGTGCAACCCTTGGGGAGCTGCCGTCAAAGTATTCAAGTAATCAAACAACTATTATTAACTTAATAATACAAAGGAGATCAGTGGAGTGGAGGATTTCCACAAAACGACAATTCAACACACCAGCTTGTAGTCATCCCTTTAAAAATAAACATTTAGTCCACATATGTCCACATGTCATATGACACGGATGTTATAGATATACCACGTTGCATCCCTCCATCTGTCCCACCCACCCACGCTCTCTAGCCCTTTGCCCCCAAGCGACCATGGCCCAGGAGACGTTCGCCACGTCCCTCGAGGCCAAGCGATCCATCTTCGCCAGCACCGCCCGGCGCAGCTTCCGCAGCGCGTCCTGCCGTGGAGCGACGGTGCTGCTGGCGACGTGCTGCGGGGGTGGAAGGAATACGGCGAAGGACTTCTTAGGAAAACACAAAAAAACGCATGTGCAGTTTCTTCCGGGCACAGGAATGGTCAGGTTGAGAGGTTGTCTTGCATGCCACCCTAAAAAGGTGTTGCTGCATTGTTCTCAGAAAAAACAGACTTGGTTTAAAATTTTAAATGCTTCACTTCTTCTTTCACATTGGTCTTTGATGGTCGAACTGGAACACGGAATCACCGAACTTCTTTTAGCTGTTCAACTTCACCGACGCCACGCGCTGACACTCACCACGCTTCATCGCGAGCTTCACACGAAGAAGCACCTCGTGAGTCCAGGCGAGCACGGCGAAGCTGTAGAGCAACCTGGCTCGCCCGGATTCTTTGAAACACCGGTGGTTCGGCCGTTTGTGGCAGTGGTTCAGTTCGGTCCGGGGCGTTTGGTGGGATGGGGTGTTGCATGAAAAAGGCGGGGCTGGGCATGCAATGGCTCAAAGCAGGGTCTTGAAGTCGTTGACCACTGAATGGTCAAGGAACAAAATGAGTCTATGCGCACCGCTATGCCGTGATGCCATAATGCTCAACGTTCTGACCATTCTGAAGGTCCCACAAGGCCAGTCCGTCAGATCCCTCCAGGACGATGGGAGATTTAAGAAAAACTCTTGATGAATAACCCCTCCCATTTGAATTGGACATCCAGCTGCCCCCTGTAGGATGTCCAGGTCAAGCCCCTGCAGGATGTCGAGCCACGTGGAGATATCCGGCGGCGTCAGCTGCTCGACGGGCCGTCGCAGGATCTCCTCGCTGATGCACGTCAGCGCCTTCCTCGGGGGCGGCGGCAAATCGGCGGCGCGCGTGGAAGTGGAGGAAGTCCCGGAAGTGTCAAAGGAAGACGGTGAGAATTTGGAACAAAAATGATCAAAATAGATCCTTGCCAAGGCTGGAAGAGCCATGGACCGTGCCAGAGAAGGAAATAAGGAAGAGAGATTGACTTGGCAACTGCAAAAGCAAGAAGGTTGGCTTGTTATTGAGACAATGGCCAGTTCTTGAGACAGCAATTGCTTTCGGAACAGTCCCCCTGCCAGCCCAGTGTCATGTCGCGGTATTCGACAGCTGACAAACCCCAAATCACGTTTGATAAGCCTGGCACTGCTGGCATTCAGTCACATCAAGCAAAATAGAATCCGAGTGGCCGAGTGGCTCTTGCAACTCATGTCACATGAACCACATTGAAAACAACTCGTCGCACATGCAATCAGAATCACAAATCAGGGTTGTGAAAGCCGGTGGCTGTGGATCATTCATTCTTCCTTTTACCACTAGTTGAGCTGCACTTACACCACATTTGCACATCCAGCTGTCACGTGGTCTCCCTACACTGGCAAAGCTCCACCTGCCTTGCGGCGAAAACCATTCGATCTGACGCATCACTTCCCAGTTGATTGCGCGAATGTGCTCGTTGCGCTTGTGCTTCAGCGTGCCATAGGCCCACAACGTGTTCGACAGATCCTGGCGGTCCAAAACGCACCAAGCGACCAGCGTCCATGATTGACAGAGTCTGAAACATGATCTTGGATCAGAGGTGGATTGAGGTCAGCTTTGATTGTGAGTACTCTGCAAGAGAAATATGGTCAAAGGAATCCCCAAACTGCATCCAAGTGGTTGCACCCTGCAGCTGGAGCATTCTACTCAGAAGGAGTCCAACCTTTATACATACCAAAGGTCCCAGCTCAACAACACATACATTCTCTTGAATTCATGTCCAAGGTCACTCTTCTGGATGAACATGTGCATTTGTGGATGAAACTTTCTTGATCACCTTGGGCGTCTCATTTGGGGCAAAAGGGTGCAATCCCTTCACTGCGTGGCATCCCTTCACCGTCTAAGATGCCAGCGCTCCTGTGGCACACATTCCTTGCAGCGTTTCATCATCTCAGCACCGCTGGCTTCCATCCAGTCCTGGAAAGAAAAAACACACAAATAACTACCAAATAACTATAATATACTATGACCATAACACATAACATCAAACAACTATATATTACTCATATGGCTGGGGCGTGCGCTGCGTCTGTTTCATCGGCTCTGGGTTGTTGTCATTAAGAGAACCTTGGGTGTTTCAAAGCAAAGATCATTGAGACTCTCCTTATGAGCAAAGAAACGCCAGGCAACAAGGTCCATTTACACCTCCAAGCAATCCTCAGAAGTCTGATGAATCCCTAGAGATCCCTAGAGTTCTGAATTATTAGGTCACTCACTGCACTCTCCCACTCACTGAGAAAGGACCCCTGGAAGTAATCTCACCCCCCTAGCTTTGTCAAGGAAACTCCTCATTTTATTCAGCGAACCAACGGCTTTCCGCAGCGAAAGAACCACTCCGTCCATGCGACAAAAATCGGCGGTGTTGGGGCCCTGTCCTCACAGAAGATGCCCAGTGTCGCTAGACCCCAGGTGAGATTGGACAGCTCCTGCCAACGGAGCGAACGGCGAAAAAGGAAGCCCATCCGATGTGCGATCGGTTCACACCCAATCGACTCGACTCCCTTGTTGGGGCCGCATAACTCATATGGCCTTCACGCCGGTGGAGGTCGCATGCCAGCCTTTCAATTGGAAAAGGGTTGCACAAAACACCCAGGACACCGGAGATGGATCCTGACGGAGTAGCCTTGGCAACGAATCTGCACCCTTCGGCACACGCGTTCCCCCCTCCGCTGGAGGGTGTTCGGGTCCCGCGGGCAACGCGGAACGCTCCTGGGTTCCAAACTCGGCCACACGGGCACATGCACTGACGGCGATCGCCATCATGGCCTCCTGAAGGAAAGGCATTCATTGAGTTATGGATTGAGTCATCGTGTCACTCACGCTACTTGGTTGCTGCCTTGGGTTGTGAACTATTTGCACAAGCAACAGTCCATTTGTCTGAAGAACATACTATTCCATTGGATTTCAGAAACCCAAGTTCAGGTCGCTCCTCCGCTCCCCATTCAAATCAGATCCACCAAACCAATCTGTACTACACACTCATGCCTATGGCCTACACAAAAGGACTCTGGTTCACACCAATACCCTGCAATTGAGGAGCTTTCACGAAGCGGCCCTTGCAGCTCATGCTGTTTGACAAAAGTCAGCCCGTGCCTCATCCTTGTACATCACGGTGGCACATGCCCAAACCAGGTTCGACATGTTTTGAGGCCTCAAAACAATCGCACAGGGGCAAAAAACACCTTGTGTTTAACTACGTCTACGTAATTATCAAATGATCTCAAATTTGATGGAATTTGCTCTGAGAGTGATGGTGTGGTTGCTCAACTCAAGCTTGAACACTCACATATGGCCCCACCGAGCATGTCGTGGGTGGCGCCAAGCGGCTGGAAGCGACTCAGTTGCATCACCGACTCTGCGAGGACCCAGCGGAAGAGCGCGTCGCAGGGCCGTTGGAGGCGCGCGAAGGCCCAGCAGGTGTTGGACAAGTCCTGCGTGCGCATTCCGCGTTCGCGTTCGGCCGTAAGGCAGTTACAGTAAGGCAGCTATAATGCTTTAAGGAACTTATAAGGTGTGGGATGTGATTTTTGATTTGGTTGTCTTTTGGCTTGAAAAGGTTTGTGTCTGGAAACAATGATAAACACTGGAATCAAAAGAAACAAGGAGGTGACAACATATCACAGTGTAAGTTGATGACCAGGTAGAAGGTGGACGTATTCTGGAAAGCGACCTGCGACCTTAGATACAACCACACCAGCCTGGCCACCGCCAAAAAACACACACACTCTGCGCAGGTCTGGCGCGCAGTCAGTTGATCTGCATCTAACATACACGACCATTTGGCGGTCTTTGGGAAGATGAGTCTTCCACCCCCAACAATTGCGGGGACTATGGACTATTGCGGGCTAAACCGTTCACTTTCTTGCACATCCATGGGTTCACTCTGACTCTCAAAATTCTTCCCTCTCCTGAGGGCTGTAGTCTTGAAGGTTGGCCTCGACATGCTTGGGAACCAGCTCCAACAACCTCAGCCGGTCCAACGTCCTCAAGGTGGATCGGGGGGGCTGCAGGGCTTGTGGTGGGATGCGACCTGGAAGCTGGCTGTGACCGAATCTTTGGGAGGGCAATGGGAGGGCAACGTGGCAACTGGAGTCTTGGCTGGAGTGTTATCATCAAAAATGGTACCAATGGTCCTCCTCCAATGCCAAAGCACTCAGCAAATTGAAGATATGTGAACAAACTTGTCGGTTTGTTGCAATGAGGGAATAGACCTGCATGGGTCATGCCTAGACGCCGGACAAGACTCCTCCCTAACCAAAGTTGGGGCCCCAAAGCCTCAATTAGACAGAACCAATGTTCGCATCATCTTAATTACATGAAGGGAGTCACTTTTCCATCTTTTCCATTTGAAGGGGTATTGGACTTGAACAGATTAACCAGCACCTTCGGTCGCCATGAGCAGTGCGGCGCAGCAAGAAGCCCTGGGTGTGAGCCCAGTGACTCTTCGTCCACGAAGCCCAGCGTGGCCAAGGCCCAGATGCTGTTCGACACGTTTTGCGGAACGAAGTTGCTCAAGCGCTTCACGGCCCATCTGCGCTAGCCGGCGCTAGCCGGGTACAGCGGGTACCAGCCACCGTGGCAATGAACCAAGACATCTGTCAGTGTCTGTTCGTTATACTTTTTTGAGTCCAAGAACATCCATAGATTGAGGCAGGAGATATGTACAAAACAACTCCTTTGATGCCCCCTCACAGTTCGCAAGTGAGTGTGGTTCAACCAAAAATGCGTTTTTTCGAAACGAGCTCATCTTCAACAGCGAAGAAGCTCATGAAAAAACTCTCCGATGGTCCCAACCTGCACAGCAACGTCAAAAGCTCCACTGGCCTGGGCCCGCACCGCAGGCGGCTTACCGTCCGGATTCTATGGAAAAAGGGGATTCTCCAATCTCCATGTACTGTAGAAAGTGCAGTGCAATGTGATAAGCAAACTTGTGCCAGTCAGTTCCAAATTCATGAAGCATTCCTGGTGGACCCTCCAAAGCTCCTAAGCTAAGGATGTGGGAACAGCAAACATCGAGCAAGTCTCTTGTGATCCAAGACGCTTCCATTGGTCCATCAGTCAGTGCTGATAGCTTAGCTTCTGAGACACCGTGGTCCAACTGTCGTGTTCAATGGAGCCCTCTCCGTGCAACGACCGACCGCATTGCGCTCACCTTACCCACCCACCTCACTCGCCTCACCCCTCATTCCTTGCAACTTCAGGCGCTGAAACATCAACACCGCACAGCTCCACAAGGCGTTCGCCAGCTGCTGCGGCCGACAGCGAGCCACGAAGTGCTGCGTGAGCTGCACCAAACCGATGAAGCCTGCGGACCGGACCACCCGCGAGGCGTTCGTTTCACCGGTTCTGTGGTGAAGACGAAAGCGGACGAAACCATGCAAAGGTGGGCCCAAAGGTGGGGTCAGGATTCTTAGCACTTGAAATGGCACAGCCGAAGACAGGGGGGTGATGTTTTCTTTCGACTGAGGGCCGCCCTGTTTTTATTCGATGTATTAAAGCATCTCAAGGCCGAGTTCCCTATAAACCTTCTCCTCAAACACATCCAACTCGAGGCCTGGATGGTGATGGATCGCATCTAATGGAGTTCGCCCGTCTTCCTGCGCCAGCTGAGAAAGCGAGACCACAGTGCCTCTTAGTCCAGAAACGATGACATCAATCACATGATTGGCCACTTCTTCGGCTCCAAAGTGATGTCTTACCAAACTCAGCATCACCAAGCACCGGATCCAAGCACCTCCCAAGTTGTCACGCTCCAGTCTGTCACGTGCGGTGCAGTTTCTTCTTTGGGAATGAGTCATGGATGTGAATACAGCATTTAGATACCCAACACGTCCTGAAGCTACCACCAGAAAGAATACACTCTCCGAAAAAATGGGTATACTTCTACACCCACCAGAGACCAACCACCAGCCACCACCTGTTTGGGTACTCGGATCAAATAGGAGCTACCGAAAGTCCAACCACCAGGCCATCCACGCTAGCCATGATGGTTCCAGGTAGTGTAACCTATCCCTTTGGGGATCCTTGCGGATCTGATTCGGCAACTCAGAGCTGGAAAGCCTAGCATCGTTCTCTAAAGGACTGAAGTCCTTTCACTTTAAGCTGGAGAGTCAGAGTCTCTAAACCCAATCCGTGTCTGTGTCTCATCTGAACCAACCTCTCTCTCTCTCTCTTTCCAGCGTTGAATCTTTCCGGAACTGCTCACACCTTTGCTACCGCAAGTCTGCACAAGAGGCTTGAAGCTTAGACCATATGTTTACATTCGCTCTTCGAGGGTCTTCGACCTTCAAAGCGAAAAGACGCTGTCGTCGACAGAAACCTCCACTGACTGCTGTGAGACAAAGGAGTAGAACTCGGCTATGTCGTGCTCCACATATGGCACGCCCAACCTCCCGGTCTCGTACGGCACGCCCAATGCACGAAGTGGAAAACACCCGCCGAAAATCGAGCGGACAACCGTCATCCAAGTATTTCCATGTTTTGCTTTTCTCTCATGCTTGTTATTGTGAGGGCGTAACTAGTTCACATTCTGAGAGCTCACCTCCACGCTCCAAAACCCACATAAAAACACACGTGAGATCCATCAAAACAAAAAAAAGAAACACACAACATAAAACACCATACAAAACTTCACCCCCAAAAACAAAGAACGACTCTAAGCCACTTATCCAGGTACGCCACCTCTGCCGTCTGCGAGGCTCCAAGGCCTCCGTTCTTCCTGGCGCGATCCTTGGCGGCCTGGTCGCCCAGCTCATCCCAGGAGAGCTTCCCAAGACCTCGACGGCCCTCGAAGTAGAAGACGTGTAAGGTTTGATGCAGCTCCAGTGCTCGATGGATGTTCTTCTTCCATTGCCTCCGAAATGGAACATGAAGAAAATTGGGAGGAAGGAAAACTACATAGAACATCTGAGGAAACTAGATAGAACACCCAAAAACAAAGAAATAACACATCGATCTCCTACTACGTGCGTAGGGTTTAGCTTGGATTTTGTGCGCGTTTGTGAGGGCTTCCCGTTTACTACCCCCTTTTTCTCGAGTCGAGCTGCCTAGAAAAGGGAAAACATACATCAAGCAAACTATATCATGCTTGTTTGGTCATGTATAGGGGAATTAGGCTGCACAACGAAAGGTCTGTACATCAAAAGAATTCAACACTTAGATGAACTCGGTGGCGAGCTACTCGAACCATTCACAGCCCGGGGCAGTTCCTCTCGTTCCTCTCGCGGCGTTGAGCCTCAGAAACTCTTCTTCGCTCAAGATCGATCCGGATCTCAAAGCCCCTGAAACAGGAAAAACCCTGAGGCCCCCAAAGAACCTTCAAAGACATATTGTCTTTCAATGGGGCTGAAGTGGTGGAGTCTAGACATTTGATTCACTTGATGTAGGGAGATGTAAATGACTCACATGCATGAAGACTCCTAAAAGCGTCCTAAGACCATGCAACACTTGAATATAGGACGTATACTTGCAGTTTTTGGCTACAGCATTGCTATATATGATCTGTGAGCAGTATCGACCAATGGATCCACAACCGGAAATGATCTTGAGCTCTGTTGACCCTATATACAACGTCAAACCCCAAACTGATGAAGTCAAAGCACCGTAGCAAGCCAACAGCAAAATCTGACCCTCAACGCACCGTGGAACAAGCTTTTCAAACGTCTTGCAATGATTGGAAATCCATGGCAATCCCCCTACTTAGTGCAAATTTCAGAGAATCTGTGGGGCCTAGCCCAGCTCCCTCTGACTTCAATCACAGCAACAAACTCTCGTGTGTTCTTCCCCCCACCCTTTCACTGCCCCGTGTTTCCACCTCTCCCTCTGCCCTGTCTCACCTCCTGCAAGGCGTTCGCCAACTCATGATCCGACTCTACAGTGCTGGTGTGCGATTTCTTGACCAACAAGTGTTGCCCCATGGCCGCCGCGTCCGCCTGCTTGAAGGCCAACTCGTCACCTGTCCGCGAGGACTGGTCACATGCGCCGTGAGCATGCTCAGAAATCCAACGCTGCAGGAGGCATCCCGGACATCTCATTAACCCATGTCATCCGCGTTTCCAAAGCACCTTTTTAACCCCAAATCCGCCAAGTGCCAGCTGGAAAGAAGCTTTTTCTGGGCTTCCAGCTGGGCTTCCAGCTTGGTGCTGCGAGCATTCACACCACATCCAGCGACCCGCAAGAGAAAGACACGAAGATGTTGCAAACGTTGCGGCGATCAATGGATGGAAAATACAGGGAGATAGGCAGGACAAGCGACCGAAACTCCAACCGCTACAATGCCTATAGTACTTGGCTACTGCTATGCTGCTATACTGCTATTAGACATCAACAGGAATCAAACACATCCTTTATTGAGATTTTGCGATAATTAAAGTCACTCCCACATATATTCCCCTCCGGATGTATGATGTCTGCGTTTCGCCATCGTTTCGCCTTCGCAGCTGGGATCCACCACGCTCAAGTAGGCGATGGGTGGTACAGTGCCATAGAGCGCTCGACACCAACAGTCGCCGGGGCAGTCGGGGTTCGCCGCGTGGCGTCCCAGACCTATTAGCGGGCGAAGTGGGGGTAGCGAAGCGTGGTAGTTCGGCAAGCTGGGCTAATGTATTTCGTCCAAAAACGATCACTTTCAACAACAAAACATTGGTTGCTGTCATTGTTTGTCTTGTTTTGATACTCGTCACATGGAGGTTTTGGTGGCGTCTTCACAGAAGTCTAGCAGTTACTGCTATCCGGCTTAGGGCATAAGAGTAAATGGCTTTGGAGCTTCGTTTGATTCGTTTGGAGCTGGGTGTTGGATGGCATCCGGTTCCAACCGACCCGGTTGGATCCCGCGCTGGGCACGGGTGCCAAAGGTCAGGTCGGTTGAGCCTTCCGTTCGCTTGACCGGGAGAGAGCCATGCACTGTTTGAGCAAACTCAAGGAGGAACCACATCCTGTTTGCATAAACCTATAAGGCCAAATGCTCTTTTTATCGATATTAAGGCACTGATATACACAGAACAGTTGGCAGGAACTTCCCTGAAAGGACCCCCCCTTTCCAAAAACAACACAAACGAACATAAACTAACCAACTAACATCTTCAAGTAAACCATCCAGTTGACCTGAAGCCGTATCCGTCAGAAAGACACACGCAAGGCTGCAAACGTCGTGCTTCTCCAGCGCGATGGCCACGGCATCGTCCCAAAGCTCGCTATATTTGCCCGGAAAGGAGGCGATACAACTCTGGGCCTCTGGATTGATAGCTCCTGAGTCTGAGTCGCCTACTTAAAGGCGACTCTGCGCAGTGAGATCAATGGAAAGAAGACCATTTGGACATCTGAAATCAATGCAACCCTGCGACCCCTGCACTTCCCACACAAATCCAAGGTAGCCTTCGAACTGGCTCTTCCGGCTCAGCTCTTTCGAACGGATGACACTTGCACCATCTTGCACCCCATTCCATCCCAGTCCTCTCTTGACCTCTCCAGCCCGTCCACCCCACTCTCTCTCGCTCAGGTCGGTCTCCTGGAAAAGCCACGCGTTTGAAGGCCAAGCCCAAGCCAGCCTCTTCGGCCAATTGATGGAAGGCCTCCAAAGGACGTGCCCACTCCTCCGCACCGTGAGAAGGGTGGAACCGAAGGGGAACCGACCACGAACCAGGCAAACGCATGTGTACACAGACCGACTGTTGAGTGTTTTCCCCCAATAGCTGGCTTGTCAACAGGTGAATCACCAAGTGGATTTTAACACTATGTCACTATGTCACTTAGTCATTGGATGCTTAGGACAAAGACACGTTTACTATAGACGTCCAAAAAGAAAGACTTTGTTGCAAAAACTCCTTCCAACCCAGCATTCCACTGAGCAGTAGAGAGTTGAAGATCTGCAGGCTGAAGTCCAGAGTGAGCCAATAGGACTGAGAGATGTAGAAGAAGTCAGTGGTTTGCCTCGGCCAAGCCGTGGTGAAAGCCTTGACGTTCGCTCCTCTTTGTCTTGGTGGCCTGGTTTTTGTTTTTGTCCTCTCCCTCTCTTTCTGAAACAGGACATTGAAACTACAAGAGACATAATGAACAAACACAACCAAGTTCAACATAGTTCAACAACTATACAAAAATCCTGCATGCAAACCAGCAAAGGGATGCAACGGGCTCCAATATGCATGGAACCAAACAAAACCAAACCGTTCCTTTTTTGTTCAAAGCCAAACACATCCCCACGTCACTTTCCCACCGAGTCGCACCACCAGGGTATAAAAGGACAACGCCGGCCCCAAGACGATGAGCACCGCATTGGTCCACAAGCAACACACCGTCGACTGAATCTCGTGCCACTCGTAGCGGCCGACGGCACGACAGGCCTTCGTCGTGAGACTCAAGGACTGAAGCCTTCGTCGAGACGAGAGAGAGGCGAAGCGAACAGTGCGGCATCGAGAGCTGAACATCGAGGCTGGTTGTTAGATGTTTTACGTAAGAATGCTCCGTTCGTAAGGCCAGGAGCCCCGAACGTAGCGTCCGATCGCTCCTGTTGTTGATGGTTTAAACGGTGCGTCACAAAATGCACCGTTGGAAGTGATGCACTAGAAACACCCGCATGGCGCCGCTTGATTCGTGGACCCGTTCCTGATCCCAGGTGGCCATGTTCAACCATATATATAGGATACACGCCTTGTAAGGCACAATATGTTGAACCATGGCATGTGCAACAAGGTGACCAGCTTTCCCTGGCCGTGAAAAGCAGCAGTTCCAAAGTTGCACGCAACAAAAACACAAACAACCACAAACAGCACAGCTTGTTTCAGCGGATTTTTGTCTGTTGCGGCTGAGCAGCAGCACCACTGCCAGGAAGAGCAAGACCAGGGGGATCAGGAAATATCGCGCCCAGGCGTTGATGGGTTCATCCCAAATGCTGCGGATCAAGTACAAGACCAAGGTGCCAATGGCTGTGACTGGGACCAGAATCATCAGTAAGCTCACGCCCTCAGTAAGCTCGTTGTGGCCAACAAAAGCAGCAAGCAGCAAGCACATGACGAGAACACACTCCAAAAAAAAAGAAACAACAAGGGTTTGACGGTTTGGCTGATCTTAGTTCTTCTATACTATGTTCTTCTTACTAGGGGGTCTTCTTCTTGAAAGTATCTTGAAGGACCTGGGAGGGTCCCGGTGATTTAGCTTGTTGAATTGAGATTTGGACCCACAACTACAAAAGAAAAGGATAAAACGCGAACATATAAGACACCAATTAGTGCTTTTGTCAATGTGATTTTACTGTGTTTTTTAGCTTGTTGCGTTAAGAAAGAACCCCTCCTGTTTCGGCCGCACCATGGCACAGCCCAGGCTTCTGTACACCTTGCCAAGCGCCTGGAACCTAAAGATCGAAGCTTTAGGCTGGTGCAGCGCACTTGCATCGCATTGGAGACCATTTGCCAAAAGGCCAAGAGGAAGGTCGGTGCTTGAATGATATTCCTCAACGACCAAGGGCAGTGCCCACGAGAAAAAATCCCATTTTTGCAAAACATCTACCAGATCTGCACCGCCCACAGGATTGGGCCACAAAGACTCGAAACTCGTAGCGCTATTTGCTCTCCCCAGGTGGGGTGGAACTGCGCCGCAGTCAGGACTGCTGGGCCAAGTGGAACGAAGCCAGGATTCCATCACTGGATTGCAAGGGACGTGCGCAAAGAACGGAAACCGAATCCGCAACCAACCCAGAAATTTGCAAATCAACACTTCTTACTGAATATAGATATGATTTGATTGAAGAGAGCTAAGAGTACCTCCTGGGTTTGGACATATGGAACTTGTTGAAATGAGGGAGTGGAAACATGTTTACCTCGATCAGTCCTGACTTGTCGACATTCACAGCACCGGTAACATGCACCTTGCACTTCAACTTCTTAGGGATCGCCAGCAAGTTCCCCCCCTGGAACCCACTTAGTCACACTTCCCCCAAAGGAAACAGCCGATCCAACACATTGAAGTAGAAACAATTTGACTGATGCCCTCCGGACATCTGTTTTCAGATCATCAAATCTGAGACCCGCTATTGCCCTCCAAACCGTATGTGTAGTATATATTGACAAACCATCTTCGCCCTCTCTCTTCTGCCACACTTGGACCCCTGAAATCATCAACTCCAAGTCTGGTTCCAAGAGTCCCCTCAGCCAGCCACTGCCGGAACCACGGATCCCAAAAGGGCACCGCCAGCAGCAGCACGTTGCGCCGGCTCCAGCGGTGCAGCGGCCGAGCCGAGAAGCGCTCCGGGCGAAGGAGGAAGATCAAGAGGCCCAGACCGGTGATGACCGGGCGGACGACGAGGTCCGGCGCGCCGAAGCCCGGGTGCCTTCGGGATCGGAGAAAGTGAGGGTCCCGGAGGGTAGAGGACATGGGAGAGAAGCAGTGCGGAGTAGGCTGGTTTGAGACCTTCTCTAGAGGGTGGGGAAGTGGGGGGAAGTGGGGATCGATCAACTTCTCTAATCACTGGATGATGTTGTGAGGGTTCTTTTTTTTGGGTTTTGTCAACGGAGTGATCTGGGGAGCTGCTGGCTGGGTCACAGTGAAGGAACATGGATCCGCATGTGGATGATCAAGAGGTCAGGTGTTTACCCCAAAGAACGTACTATACATTGGGTGTATCCAATTCCCTGTAAGAGTGGATGATGACGTTAGTTTGCTGGCTGTGGACCTCAACTCTTGAGAAAAACTGGGGGACCAATCACCAGCAAGCACATGACATCTTGCAAGGAAACAAAACCCTATCAAACCATGTCTCTGCACCCCAACAAAAAATACCAAAAAAACACAAAGGAAATGACTTGAACAACAGAATCCTCCTCTCAGCTGCATCTCCGTCCAGATGGAGTGTCCAATGGTTTCCACCATCACCACGTTCGCCACAATGCGTGCAGCGGTGTAGAGGATCACTGCAGCTACGGTCAAACGCTTTGTACATCCTGGGAGTGGCTGAGGTGGCAACATAGGAAGGAGCATACACATCATATGTTCCCCAAACACATGATGTTTAGAGACCCCGTTTCAAGACACACAAACACTATTTAAAACATAAAACACTTTAATAATTTAATATATTTCGTTTAAACTTCTATATAATCCAGGGATTGTCTGAAGCTTAACTCTCTTGTGCGAGGATTCCTCCAATAACATGGTCGATTCCTCCCTTCCATCCCCTCTAGAACATACGAACACCTATGTGGAACCTACAGGGGGGACGTTCCGCTTGCCAAGCATTGCCCTAGAAGATCGCCTCGAGGCTTGAGTGGTCAAGTAAAACAGGAACATCTCGAAGCCTCCAATTGCCAATTGCCCTGGCCTTTTTCGAGACATACACTGCACTCTCCCCAACACTCACATGGACAGGCACCTGGGTCGTCCGTTTCTCCTCTACACACTCGTCCGTCCGTGGTGAAACCTGGGTGCCAAGCATCTGTTCATGCTTGGATATGAGCGATCGAAGGTGAAGGTTCTCGTGGCGATGGGTGGAGGCAAAGAAGCTTTGCCAGAGCCGCTCCCAGATCTGGACATCGATGGGCGGAGCCGCGAGTTCTTGGCGCAACAGCACGCCATGGCATGTAGCGACAGGAACCCTGAAGGATTTCTTAAACGATGCCTGTCGGGAAGAAACGAGGCAGAAGAAACTGCCAGGGGCAGGTGAAGTCAGCTATGACGTCATCTGCTTAGCTGGGGTTCTTTTGTGGTCCGGGTTTGATGTCAGCAACAAAGGACTCCATCATCGGCTGACCAAACTGTGTTGGAAACTTTTTGCTGACTGTGACTGGGGGATACTGGGGGGATCTTTTCTTTAAAACCATTTAAACCTCTGATTTCCAGCATTTCGACATTTGACACCCACATCTTCTCAAGCCACAATAGCGAAGCGGCGAGGCTGTATCCCTTCAATCGAGGCCGTATCGCTGCGCACTCACGAAAGGGCCCTCATGTTTCTTGTTTCTGACTTCATTACTTTTTTTTGCTCTGGCTCCACTTCAACATCTTTGTGAATTGAAGTCGATCAGCTTATTATATAGCATCCAGGACCTATCAGGGCCTATCAGCCATGATCTGGTTGAGACCTCAAAGTCATCACCAGCATAGAGACTCATAGCCAAAACAGCTTCAAACATCGATCGAGGTCAGAGCGGTTTGAGCTGCGCTCCGCTCGCTTCCCCGATGCATCCTCGCGATAGAGCTTGGCCGCCCGGTGCAGGGACGTCACGGCGTTCAGCTCGTCCATCACCTGCGCTCGCGCGACGCAGCGGATTCCGAGCCGCCGAGGCGGGCCCAAGGGGTGTGAATTGGGGCCGTATAGCCTTTCCTTTGACCTCCGAGCCCTCCACTCCATCCATTCAAAAATGAACGGTAGCAGTCTAAAAATGTCCAAAACAAGACAATTTGATAGAGGTAAAATCTGGAGAACAAGGATGAACAATGGTTCCGGATTGGAACCCGTCAATCAATGGTGGGATTCCTCACCGGACGGGGTGCAGAATTTCAAGTTCCCACGCAAATGATGTCAAACGTCAGACTGCGTCACATCAGTGAAGTACCTATATAGTAGGGTGTTCAGATGTGTTCAGACCTATATGGCACTATAAAAAACATGGTCTTTCTGCATGAATTCTTGTAGAATTGGGGCCATGTGCAAGCTGTGAACCCACTTGGACCCTTATCTAAAGGCATCCCCTTATCACATCTTCCTGGTGACACGTCGTGACCAACGCACCGCCCGCTGCAACACGAGCCGACTGCTGTCCGCCGACCTCGCCCCTCTCCAGTGCATGGTCTAAGACCTGCTGCCAGCTATTCAGCCGCATGATCTCCTGTCGTTTCATCGGCTCTGATGGTGATGGTGAAGTGGTGATTCATCGGGCCAATCCCTGACTGATGAAAATCATGGAACATGTGGGAAACGCCTTCAATGGCAGCAACTGTTGTCTCTCGTGTTGTTCGTTGCACCATGGACACATCTTGTCAGCGGCCGTATTCCTGGAGAAAAAAGATCATAGTCATCCTGGATGAACCTTCCCAGCGCCAGCTGCCACCAACCCAAATCAAACCAGCTGCACCAGGTTGCCACCCCCACCTGCACCAGCTGCACTTACCCAACCTGCACCAGCCACCCCCACCTCGCCCCCAATCCATCCCTCCTCGTTCACCGGTACCGTCAGCACCCCCATGGCGCTGGTTCATGAGCAGCTTCTGTTTTTACGTTCGCTTCCAGCTTTTCCGAGCAGGTGGAGTGGATTGGGGGATCCGGATTCCTTGGTGGCCCTGCAATCAATGCTTCCACTTCTTTGGAATGAGTCCAACGAAACTTGGTGGATGATATTACCATTCCACCTTCAATTTTGGGATGGAATCAAGCCCGGCAGTGGAAGTCAAACAAGCATCAGTGATGAAACCCGTGATCATCACGTGTCGTGGACCATGAAATCAATGAACTGTCGGTATACGAGCACGGGTGGGCTTGCAAGGTGCAAACCCTTCACCTGCGGCGAATTGATCCGTCCACGGGCCAAGGACTGTTCTAAAACTTCCTGCATATCAACATACCGTTTCCCATCCGTTTCCTTCCTCCATATACTATCGTATACTTCGTCATCCTCTCAAGAAGTCGGAACGGATGGACCGCTGGGGCCGATCGGAACGGATCGGGAAATCGGGCGCCCGCGGAGGGACCGGTGCGACCGGTGGGTTTGGAGTGAGAAGAAGACATCTGAGAAAAGCCCCAGTTCTGTGCCACCTGGGAAAAGAGCCACCCACTTGTTTGTCTTAAATGTTTCTTATGACCCTTTCTCCCATGCACCGCCCCCTGCACCTGGCTGCACCTGACCCTGCGAGGCAGGCACTCGGGGCACTGGGGCCGGTCACCGTTAAGAGGTGAAGTAGGTCGCAACTGCTCATCCTTTGGTGATTTGGCGAAGAGTCCAAATGAATCAAACAGGTCCTGGGGTGCTCGGTGCTTGCTTCCATGTCGAATCCAACTGGGTGCTCACTTCGGGTTCGTACTATGCAGGATGCTGGTTCACAGCAAGGTCCTCTCACCGTCCAGCAGACAGAGGCCTCGTTCTTCGTTTCAACAACGTTTTCTGCGCATGGTGGATTGGGGCATCTGGAAAATAGAGCAAAAGCATGAATGCACAAGTTGGAAGAGCTCAGAAATTCATCATCTCAGCGTTGAATGACAAACCCTAAACGTTCATTGGTGGGCTGGTGCCGCCACGTCAACCGACTGCCAACGTTCAATCACATCAGTGCCCTGTCCCACCCATTGGACCTGCCTTCCGGACAAGTTGCTCTATCAACCATGCGGACGGAGCTTCAACATGCATTCCAAAACACCATTTCCACCGGTGCACATGCGCAACAGGTTTTTGGGATCAAAAAGCACCGTCATGGCAACTTGGCATCGGATCCGGATCCGGCTGCGGATCCTGCCTCCATCCATTCTCAAGCGCTTGGTGCGCGCTCCACCGTGGCTTTTCAACGGATTTTCCATGTGTGGGGGTCGCTCTGTGTGTGGATCGTTTCGCAACAGGTGAAATGTTGGACCGACCAACACATACCGTATACTGACTGGCTCTACTCCATGGTTTTTGTTGTTGCCTTGAGACAGTCTTCATACGTCTTCATGTTTTAATCTGTGAGTGCAATCATTCAATTTTGAGGGCCCCTCCAAGTAGGTCTCAGTTCTGGGCAAAGAGAAGTCACTCTGCAGAAGACTGTCAGGCGCTGGTCTGTGTCGCGAAAGGAGTTTGGCCGCTCATGGGCCAAAGGGGCTGCACAAAGTCTGAGGGCATTCCTCTCTTCAGGAATGATCACTCCAGCTACCACATCGTTTCTCAGTTACCGTTTACTATCACCACAGTATTCAGTCAGTATTCAATCCAGAAACAAGTTGGCCGCTTAACGTTGGAAAAAGGAGCGCAAGCAATCTTGAATCTTAATCCACTTGTACCTTTCACCACGACCTGCGCCTCTCTGGCGCCAACCGCGTCACGTTGTCATACTTGGTCCGTCACGTCGGTCTGCGGAAGACTCGCCCTTTTCACCTTCTTCGGACCTCTGACACTGACGGTGTTCGCCGTGTAAAAAACCTTTGCCACCAATCCGGCCTGCTCTTCAGCTGAGCATCTCACTTCAGCTGACCATTCTAGAAAAGACCGACCATGTTTCCTTGCAACAAAGAGAAACTCCGATGCCGTTCTGTTCGTCCTGCGGTCAGTACTTGGCCTGAAGTCTTCCATCCGATCGGATTGGTAGCGACCCCGCCGGGTGCCAACAAGTGTTCCACGTCGCACACCGTGTTTTTGGTCGCACACGTGGTACGTTTCCGGCTTGTTCGTAGATTTTAGGGCGTATGCCAGATGGTGTCCATATCAAAGAGCACCCTTCCATGGTGTCCACATGCAACAAACGGAGCCGTATACAGGGCTTTCCCTGATCAACAAGTGGTCACTGTTGGGTCCTTCGGGGGCTTCCTCGTCCGGTTCGGCCTTGCCTCTGGCTCAGGGATTTGCTTTTCTGATAGACACCACGCCGCCCTCACTACGATGTGAGTGGCAATGCATGGATGGAGAGGACCTTTTTCTTCACAAACGGTCTCTTCAGTTGAATGCAACAAATTGACTCTACCTCTGAGTTGGCCAATTAACTAAAACAAACACTCCCTGAAACAATCATGGAAGTGGCAGTGGAAAATGGGCCCTTGGAGGACTTAAGTCTTAAGTCTTCTTCGGTGGGTTTTCAGTTCCGTTCCAGGATTATTTCAGGGAGTGTACGGACACTTCTATGTCCAGAAACTCAACGTTGTCCCTCCATCTGCATCACACGTGAGCACCCACGGAGGAACAAAAACTCTTGCTGCTGAGAGAAACGAACTGACCTAGATTCTGCACAGGGCACCATGCCCGTTCAGTCTGGTGCCGCGAGGGACATCACAAATCAAAAAGCATCTTGGTCACTGCCTTGGTTGCTGCACTCTTGGTCAAGGGCGCTTCAGTTCACACGGACTGTAGCAAAAAGCAAAACGTCAATTTTTGGGGTCACGGACTACAGCATCTGGCCGATCTGCATCTGGCAGCGGAAAGACAGCACACAGAAAACACCCAGAAACAGGTGAAAGATTGAAACATCCTCCTGGCTTGCCGGAAACCGCTTGAACGATGAAACGCCCACGATGAAATGCTTGCCGCTGCTTTCTTTCGTCCGCTCCGCTCCCCCACCTGGGGCTGCGTGCACTTCTCGGTGGGCCTTGGAGGGCGACGCGTCGAGTCGCGGTTGGCGACTGGGGACCATGGACGACCAGGTTGGCGATGTCTGTGACCCGCAACAGGTCCCGATGGCGTCGACTGGTGCACTGCGGCATTGACGTGCAGTGATGCACTGCAGGACTGCAGGACACTAATGCCATGCACTTTGCGGACTCATTGAGACCTCGGTTCTTGCAAAGGCCTCAGTACAGCAGCCCAGCTGCTCGGAGTGAATGATGGAGACTGAGGAGTGTGACAGACATGCACGGACCACCAGACTGGCACGGAGGTTGGGAAACGAACCTGGCGACATCATCAGATCGATGATGGAGAATGATGAGAATGAACTTTTACCAAAAACGTCCATCATATATATATATATATATATCTTTTCTCATCACTCGCATGTAGAATAGCCTGTACTGTCCATAATGTGTTTAGGACTTTTTAGGAGTCAGAGTTGGTGACGCGTGCAACACTTACACTTTGGCCAGTGTACCCGAGTGTACATCTCGGTCCACGCGCACGACAGCTGAGGTCCAAGCTGCGCCCAAGACAACGAGAGACGATCTCCGGTGGGCGCTGGCCTTGAGGTCGAAACGGCGTTAGTGGTGGACTTGCAATTAGCACCAGGCAAAACCCCCCATGAGCTGCGCATGAATCCGCACTCAGCTTCATCAATGATCCAGGAAACAAACCGACCATCTGACTGGAAAAGAACACTCGACTCGGACCAGTTCTGAACTGAGCTGCGAGAAGTTCTCACCCAAAGCTATGGCTGGGATATGTTGGGACAATGGAGCGACTCTCGCATTGGTCGCCGCTGGTGTTCGTCCACCTGAGACGGAGGCGGAGGTGATCTATCGAGATTGATGCTCAGTTTGAGTTCTTTCAGTGTTCATAGATGTTCATAGTGCTGATGCGATGTGAATCAAATTGTTGTGCTTTTTTACGAATTAATCTTGCTTTGTCATGATATGTCATCCTTTGCCTGGCACTTCACGATCCACCACGTCTGCCAATGCTGCCGCATGGCCATGCTGAAAAACCAAGGGCGCATCCAAGCTACCAAGTGCCTCCAGCGGAACGTGGAAGGAAGGTCTGGAAAAACACGTCAGGAACCAACTTGCAAATTGAAATCCATGCTTTTGCCCTTCGCTTCTTCAACTCTCTTGACTTGAATTGCACGGCAGGACAGAGCGATGCAACAGGCCACACAACAGTGGACCGCCGAACTGCGACTGCGCTGCACCTCCGCTCCCCTTCTTCTTAAAAAGGCGCTCAAGTTGGCTCCTGGCGCTACGTTCGGAGCTCCAAGCTCCGACATGTGGGTTGGTGCGTGTGCCCAAAACATGTCGCTTGTCTGCTTCGTGATCTGACCCCCCCACCAAACGCGGGCCTCCGCGCGCGCCTGGTATCACCGATACCCGAACAGAACCACCCAGTTCTGACACGGTCCTTCCTCTTCCACCCTATCATCCAACAGAAGTCGTTGCAACACATGTTTTAAAAATGAACCCTCTGGGAGAAAGACGTGTTGACTAAGTCTTCTAGTCTAACTCGCTGAAAAGTAGATATATTCTCTGATGTTGATGTCCCTCTGGGTCGTCTGAAGGCACCAAGCACTGCACCCAGCACCAAGCGTGGGACCCCCACGCCTCTGCCCTGGAGTGCTGCCGGACCAATAGATTTGATCCGGTGCACAGCGAGCTTGCCGCGGTTCTCGGGCATGGTCGCTGCGAAGACGTATGCCTGTCACCCGTTTTCGTCCAAAGGCTTCGCCTTCTCTTTGGTTTTACATGATGCGTTTGCTTCGTCCCCATGGCCTGGCAAGAAGCGAAGGTTTCAAAGTTGACAAACCTCAGCACCGGAGCCACGCGCGTACGCGCGCGCGGTCTGGAGCGCGGTCTGACAACTCTCCCTGCTGAGTTTGACTGAGTGGCGCCAGACCAATGTTGGAGGCGCCATCCGTCGTCCATGGAACGTAAATGTAATTATACCTCGCGAGTGGCCGAGTGGTGGCTGCAGCAAGCGTGCAGCTAGGTATGCAAGAAGTTCTAGGGAGGTGCCCCCCAACCAATGGGGTTCCCAGTCCCCTCTTCCGTCTTTGGACCGTATTGGCATGATTTGGCATGGGGGTCACCCTATTATCCCTATTAGTATACTAATCATTTGGGTCTATCCTATTGCCTGTAACAGTGGATGATGATGGTTAAGTTGCAGGCCTTTTTGAATCTGGTGACTGTTACAGGTAATAGGAGCAACCCAACTAATCATTGTATCAGCACCTGAGGACTAACAAATAAGCAGCCAAAAAGGCGAATGACTTCCAACCCACTTGCAGAGGAGCCGCCCCAGGCAGGGTGCTGTTTCGTGCCTTGGCCAACGAAACCCGCTCGTCGAGGGGAACCCGCTGAACGCGTTCCGAATGCTTCGCGGCTCTGAGGACAGAGTAGTGGATGCAAACTGGAGGGGTGTCCATCGATGACACTTATGACAATGTCCATTCCGCCTCCATCCTGTGCTGAACACACTACACGCTCATTCCGTGCCAACGGTCACTGGAGGATTTGGGTGACCCACCATGGATTCTGTCCATTCTGTGGTCTTCGCAACGTTCAAAAGGCTCATCACCGACCCAAGACGGGTTCCCGTGCTGTTCTAAGAAGGCAGGATGCCGACGGATATTGCAACCAAAAGACAACATTCTGGCCACCATTTCTCTGGTGACTTGACGATCCAAGCCACGCATGACTAAAGTGGTACATCTTGTAACATCGCTTTCGATGCGCACCATCACATCTATGGTCTGTCACTAGCAAGCTGCAAGCCAATACAGCTGCGGATTCAACAAGTGCCTGTGTGGAAATCCGCAGAATGGTGATCTCAAACTCCAAGACTACACGGTCACCTGCTGAAAATCTTGCTTCGCTGCTCCACTGGCATCTCGCTTTCTCTTGATTTGACCAGGGGGTTTTCCACAGCTGCTTGCCTGAGCACGAAAACGAACTCCAGAACGATGAACACGGACGGACTGACTGACCCGCGCATGACCCAACATTCGTTCTTGACTCTGCGTCCGAAGCGAGGATGGAAAGTCTCTCAGCCGCCGCAGCACCAATGAGATCTATACACGATCCTTCCGCTCTACACTGGCTGGTCTTGGGGGTCTTTGATCACACCGGTCTCCCTTTTTCTGTCCACTGTGCATCATTGACGTCATGTCTGTACCCGCCGGTGGTCGACGGGAGACGTCCAAAAGGTACCAGGCCGCTCACTTGTGAGCGCCGTAGATGTTCTCGCCCACGCAGTTCAGCAGCTGCGCAAGATCCGTCACTCGGGGATGGCAACGGTCAGTGTATTCCTCTCACAGCAGTGGGATCATCCTGAAATTACTCCTTCAGTGCACTAAGTCGGCACAAAGGAAGACCAAATCATTCAGGTCATTCTGGACATGTGGCCTACATTTGGTGCTTCTTGCTGGTGAATGTATAGGCCACACCTGCAACCTCAAATGATCAAAAATAATTGTGCATTCAGAAATTCCTGTGCACTACACGTCTTTCAGGAAAAAACACAAAAAGTCAATTGAAATGCACGTTTTCTGATTGTAGCCCTTTGGGCTGTATTGGGTAGCATTTTTTCCACTTCTGAAGCCTGTCATTCGGTGACAAATGAGAACATGTAGCTTTGTCAGAAGTATTGGGATATATTGAGATACCTTTGTGGGTCGAAGGGTGTGCCCATCCCAAAGGAATGGCGTCCGCTGCTCCCTCAAGAGATTTGGAATGATTTGGAGCTTGTCAAACCGGCAGGGCTCCATTTTGTTGAAGAAAAGTCCTGCGTGACAAACTTGTTCTACCCGGAGAAATTCCCGTCAAATACACGTCTTTACCCGTCCAATACACGTCTTTCCCACCCAACACACATCTTTCCCTGTCCACTACCCTACAGTTACGAAGCTTATGAATCTGTGGTGGGACATGTTAGCAGGATATGTCACAAAAAGTGAGTTCAAAAACTGCAAGCCACAGCGTGCTAGGCCGGATCCGTATCAAAATGAAATGGGAGATTCGGAAGTTGAGCTGGAAGCGCAGGCTCCGGCGAAAGTGACAAGCAGGGCCTTCTTGTGTGTTTCAAGACAGGACCATGCTCACAGAAATGCACAATTTTGTGTTCAAGTGCACAGATTTCTGTAGAGTACACGGAAATCTCCCCCAAAATCAAGTGCACAAAAAGCAATTGCCCAATGAAGATGCAGGTATATTTGCAGTCCCATTTGGAGCGTATGGGACAAATACAACGTGTGTCATACTCCGTCGACTCGACTCCGCGTCTGTCTTTGGGGACCCAACATACACATCCCCCGAACCAATTCCCAACGTCAAAAAGTCCTTGGAAAACACGAGGGGTACGACGGCCACCACCAAGCTACACAATTGGCACGTCTCACTTTGAAAGCCAATCTATTAGGGATGGCCTCCAACCTAGTAGCTTCTTGTTCCTTAGTAGTAATGCCCTTGTTTCTAGTAGCGATGCACTTGTTACTAGCAATCCTCGCAACACATTCGGGGTAGCGAGTGCCTCCGACACCCCCCCGAGTGACAAAAAAAACACCCAGCGCGAGGGCACCGAGAGACGTGGACTGTTGGACGAGGTCTTCCGCAAGATAATTCCATGATAATTCGATACCTGGAGTCTCAAAGTCCCTTGCAAAATGGCTATATACAAGTATAGTATATATATGTACCATGTGTGTACCAAGTGTCTGTTTTTTGTTTCTATTTAAAAAGGGTTGTGTCCCATTTTCTAGTGTGCTTGAAATAGGGTAAAGGTACATTGACATGAACAATCGACACTATATTCAGACTTCCGGCGGATGAACACAGAGCCCGTCTTGGCCTCACTTCAGCTGAGAACCGCCACCCGACAAGAAACCGTGCGTCATCTCTGTTCTCCAAATATCACTCCGTTGTAGCAACACCGTGAACAAACTGTTTGGCAATCTACCCATCCATACAGGTGGCGCGGAAGTCCCTTCGTCACAGCCCTCCAACGTACAGGATTCATCTGGATTCATGAATTGGTTTTCACCCTTCAAAACCATGGCTTGTTCTTTATTCCTGAACATTTGTGTTGTAGATGTTCCCTTCAACCAATTCGGTTCAATCTGGTGCTTCATGGCTTCCTGGAGGGTGAAACAGCTGCCGAACCTTGGGATTCGTCCCAATTGTACGGCAAGTCAACAGCTGAAAAGGCACCAAGTCTTTGGATGTCTTGCGGCAAGGTCTAAGAAGATGCTTTTTGCAAAATTTTCTGCAACATATCTTACATGGAACTGGAGAACGCACAAAAACACGGCGGAATCTGCTTGTAGTTAAAGGCATCTTATATGACTACACTGACCAACTAAAGCTGCATGGCCCATGGGCCATAATTAATTCCGCACAAAACTCAGGGAAAACAAAACACAACACGCCCAAAAAAAGGTTTGACTCGACATGATTCGTATCAACACGATGTGCCTTTCCACTGCCCATCACACGAACTCGAGCTGCTCCCCGGCGGAGACTGGCGGGTCGACCGGGGCGGTGCGAATGCACCGGGGCAGCGGTGGAGCGGGACTCAAAAGATGTGGCTCTTCAAGGAACCCAAAGGATGGAGCAAGAAGCGTATACCAATTAGTAGCTCCTGGCATTATGAACGTAAGAAGCTAGGATGGAACCAAGGGCATTACTACCAACAAGAAACTAGGATGGAAGAATCTGCCACAGATTCAAATCAGGTGCTTCTCCTGATGTGCAACTTGATGAAGGTTGACTCAATTTAAAAAAACACTGCTACTGCCTACTGCTGGTGGTTGAGATACCTGAATTTCTCCACAGACTTCTGAACTCCTGGTTTTGCGATGTCTTGAGGTCGGCGAGATGTTTTTGAGGTTCCGTTTTCAGGGGTTTTCCCTCCTAACCAAACCGCTGAGCTGGGTCGTTTGGAGCGTGTCGTTTCCACGTCCTGTCTTCATGTCTTCACTCGGTCGCTTCTCGCCGCCGGCGGAGCTGGGTCGTTTGGAGACGGGGAGACGGTCCGACTCCAAACGTGCTGAGCGGATGACGACACGTGCGCATGGCCGCTGCGTGCACGTCCTGACGTCAGACCTCCAAAACGTGGAGGATTCGAACGTGCAGCACGCGGGCTAGCCAGATGAAGGTGCATAGGGCCCAGGCTTCGGTCCTCGGAAGGGACTCTTTTGGTCAAAAAAAACATAGTCGTTGTAAACGCCGAACGTGCATCCTTGTGCTGTCCCGAAACTCGGCGGGTTGGATTCACCTTGGGGCATTCTGAAATGACCCCAACTGCAATACATGTGAAGCTACCCAGCTACCCTTATCAGTCCCAGCTGAGGACTTGGGAAGTGTGAACAAAGTCTACCCATGTTCAACGGTGACTTTGTAGCAGCGTGCTGAAACACCAACTTCTTGAAATTGGAGACATGCCTAGCCTATCTGAAACGCCCATGTCTTGAAGTTGAGATCTTTGGCCCAATCCCGCCAACCACAGAACCACCTGCCATTCCCACCGGATTCTTCCAACCTCGCAATGCAAAAATCTCCCTCCAAGGACAAAGTGAAGCTCATGAACCAAGGTCAACCAAGCTCCTCTGACTAGGTGCCTAAGGCTGTCCAAACATCTATGATACAGTATGTATAGGCTGACAGTATGTATAGGCTGTCCATCAGCTTGCCCCTGGTCAATTACTAAATCAGCCTTCACTCTCTCCTCAAATCCTCCGACACGGATTATATAAAGTTTAGCTATAGATTGAACCCTCCTTCTTTTAATACCTGGCCTGGGATGGGATGAGATTTTTGGGGGCTATAAATCGATGCACATCACTGCGTCTCGCCCTGTGGACCGATGGTCTGCACGCGACGTCGCACGCGACAAGGGAGGGCCGCGAGGTCGAGCTTGAAAACCAAAATAACAAATCTAACAACAACGGGCCTGGGCCATTCATAAATTGTTCAATATTTTTCAATACATGATTATGGTTTCTGAGTGTTTAATTATTGTGTTAGGCCTATACAGGGAAACTGTTCTTATATCGCCGGAGCTGGCACCTCAGCATAGATCCATATAGATTCCCTTCATAAATCCCCAAGATTTTGCAGCACGTGATCTCTTTTCAGCGACTGTTCACTCCCCAGACGCAGCATCCAGCCCTCCCGGTACCAGTCGTTGAGCTTCTCAGACTCCTTGGGCCCTTAAGCTGGACGTTTCAGGTTGAGGATGGACACGCACCAACTGCGTTTCAGCTGCTGTCACACCAAAGAACTGCCTGCAGCTTTGACTGAAAATGCGATTGCTTTGCCGTTGCTCGGTCCCTGCCGTTGCTCAAAGGCATGAGGCTCGGGGCAACGCAACGACCGTCACGGGATCTCGAGATCGCCCAGACTCTGAAGAACAAAAAACGACTTACTTGCAAAGAGGGAGCCCATTCAGGTGCAACCAACCCCAGAATATCAGCTTGGCCGGCTGATGAAGGTTGAGAACATCATCCATTCGTGGGTGTTTTCTTCTCCAAAGACTTCCTCAACCTCTGCGAGCCGTTTCGCAAAACGGGAAGGCATGGTGGTATGGCACAGTTCTTTTCTGCATCGTCCACCGGACCGTCTGATCGAATCATAGATCCTGTCCTTGACTATATGACTCACCTGGTATATGACTCAGTATGACCACGTTTCTCTACCCTTCATGCTTTTTCCCTTGTCCCAGTTAGTGACCCTACAAGTCAGTGACCTCATTTTACTGAAGTTAGACATGACAAAACACTAATCAAGGGG